CTGGAGGCGCCGCCACTGGACTCGAGACAACTGCCAGTAGACCAGACCTGACCGGACACAGCGCCGGGATGTCCAGCTCGATGAGGGGTCGCCTGCGATCGTCGCACAGCACCAGCGATGAACAGTTCCGTCTGGGAGAGTGCCGTAAGTGTGGCCAACACTCGCACAACCAGTCGCTGATCACGTGCTCGCTGTGCGAGATTCAATACCACCCGAAGTGTCTATCGCTGGGCCCACACGTGGCCACTACGGCGGGCAACGGCTGGTCGTGTCGTCGCTGCCGGAACTGTCAATACTGCGGCAAAAAGCACGTGAAAGCGGGTCCCAAGTCGGCCACCGGTGGCCAACGTATGATCGCGTGCGTCGAGTGCGACACCGGCGCCCATCCCCTGTGTGTGGCCAAACACGACAGGCCCGCAGCCGGAGTGATGGGCACCGGGAGGCGTAACCGACGCGAACGGCAACGCTATCAGTGCCGCCGGTGTCGGCGCCGAAGACGCGCTGCAGACAAGCGCTCGGCGACCACAGCCGCCGCCTCCGCTGCTGTTGTCGCCGGCGGTAGCGATGATAATAAGGACAGCGTTTTTGGTGATGAAGAAAATGATGAAGACGTGGAGGAAGAAGAGGAGGAGGCGGTGGCCGGCGATGATGACGACGAAGACGAGGGCACCGGTAGTCTCGATGGCGAAGAGATGGAGAGCGCCAGCAGTGGTGCGGATGAGGAGGAGAAGAGCGGTTCCGATGATGAAGAAAACGGCGGCGCCGAAGAGAGTGATGATGAAGAGGAGGACGAGGAGGAAGTGGTTGATGAGGAAGAGGTGGCCGAAGACAGCAGTAGTGCTGAAGAGGTGGACGACGAGGAAGAGGTAGAGGCGGAGGAGGAAGAGGAGGAACCGGCGGACAGGTATTTACAGACATTATGTCCATTGATATGATTATTAATAGTGATTAGCATTAATTGGTATTAATTGGTATTTGTGTGTTTTCACTGATTGTAGTGTTATTCACGATATTAAGTGCACAATACAGTTGTCACACTAATTGTCACGCTTTCATAGCTAGAGTATAACGTAGCGATTGTTTGTTCACTATAGCGAACGTTTAACGTGTTTTAATGATTTTTTTGTCTGCGAAATAATTATATTTTGTTATTTATCTCTAATTTTATTGATTTTTGTCATTTCTCTCTCGCATTGAATTAAAAGCGAAATATTATGGTACTTATTTTTAGTTTTATTTTTAGTGACATTTTATTTGAATCATTATATTGTATGCAATGTTAGAAAAAATATAATTTATTTTTATTTCTATTTACCTGTTTTATTATAAATACAATCGACTCACGGTATATGTGGTGGCTATTGTGCAGAAATATCACGTGTTAACTGTACTTTTTTGTACTATCATCAGTACACTATTGCACGCCTGTATAACTCGTACACTAATCGCACGATCATTATTAATAATCCCATAAACATAACGATAGATTTCTACCGACACTAACACAATGCTGACACTGTGTTCACTACATCGGGGGTAGTACTGTATTTAGCCTAATACATAATTAACCGTGTTTTTCATAACACACACACTATTAGTGCAGTAATAATATTGAAAGCATTTTGTTTTACAATACATTTAATTAAATTATAATAAAATAGTTATTAATAATTTGTTTACACATTTGTCTCACAACTAAAAACAGTAGCTCTGATGAGGAGGACGTCGGCGACGATATGGACAGCGATAGCGTTACCGCCGTCTCCACCACCGCCTCCCCGGCCACGAGTGCGTCGACGGCGACCACAACACCGCCTAAACCGGTCAAAGGCCGCCGCGGGGGCCGCAGACCGGGCGCCGGGCGTCGGAGTCGCGCCGCTCAACAACGGGAGACACGGCTGACCCGCTCGATGACTAAACAGTCGTCCACCGAAACGCCGCCCAAAGGCCACCAAACGGGCGCCGAAGACGACGATGTGATCACTAAAGGGTCCGACGAAGAGATGCTGAGCGATACGGCTGTCGCCGGCGGCTCCGGGAGGTCCGCCGCGCCGGCCGTTAACGGCAAACGAAAACGTAAAAAGAGAGGTAATGATTGCACTCATCACCGCATTCTTCGTGTGTTTTGTTTGCAATCATTATTGTTTTGTTTGGTTTTATTATTTTCCGTTACACTCCCGCTCTGTGTTTGTTAATTAAAACTACTATTTAATTACAAATTATAATTAATTAATTAACACATACTGTCTGTCCATTCGTATTGGCACAGGTCGTGGCGCCGCCTCCTATATGGCTCGTATGCGCACAAAATCGCTGATCAAAACCACCGGCTCTGAGGCCAAGTCGGCGAAAGTGGCGGCCAAAGCGGGAACCGCTGGCGGCGGACATCACCATCACGTGGACTCCGACGCCGACTCGTCGGATTTGGACATGCAGTCCGACGGCAAGTGTTGCGTTCCCGACTGCGACAGCACCGGACACATGAGCGGCAAGTTTGACGCTCACTCCACGCTCAACATGTGTCCCATCTATCATAACCTGACCGCCGATGACTGCCGCCAGCGGTACGTAAGGCGCGCTCAACGGCGCGGCGATAAGTCCACCGCCGGTGACCACGAGTCCAATCGGCGTGAATTGAGACAAAAGACGGCGCCCGTATCGCCCACAACCTCGACATCCGGTGCCGCCGCCGCTGTCAGCCCCGGGAACCGAGAGGACAAGTGTTTGGCGCTAATGGAGACCCGGAGGAAGGAGATGCAGAAGGAATTGGTGGCCAACAAGTCGCCCACCAAAGCGCACAAACAAAAGACATCGAGGTATGGAATCAACTATTGGTGATTCTATCTATGAATGATTGACACTAACTGTCCATTTGTGGCCATTTTGTTAGCCGAGAGCCGGACCTGAAAGGGCTGACACCCATATTCGACGTGGATCTGTTCCGCGAGGCTCAGGCCCGGGCGGCCGAACTCATTCAGGAACAGTTGGTCACCGAACGAGAGGCCAAACATCGGGCCGGTATAGGTCTGGTCGAGTTGGGCCGCTATGAGATGCAGGTGTGGTACTCCTCTCCCTATCCCGAAGAGTACCAGTGCTTACCGAAGCTCTATGTGTGCGAATTTTGCCTGAAGTACACCAACAGTCCGCTGATTCTCAAACGCCACTTACATAAGTGCGTCCGTCGGCACCCGCCGGGTAAGTGTGTCCAGTAGTTCCGGCCACCCGTTAACTACCGGTACTTTCAATTCGTGTGTGTCTTATGTTTGTTGTGTTTTCTGGCTGTGGTTTAGGCGACGAGATCTACCGCAAGGCAAACGTGTCGTTCTTCGAGGTCGACGGCGAGACCAATAAGCAGTTCTGTCAGAATCTGTGCCTTTTGGCCAAACTATTCCTCGACCACAAGACACTGTACTTCGATGTCGAGCCCTTCCTCTTCTACATTATGACCGAAGCCGACGCCGAGGGCTGTCATATCGTCGGCTACTTCTCGAAAGTATGTACTCTTTGTATGCTTTTTGATTTGTTGTCTGTGTTTTGATCTTCTAATTGATCCCATTATCCGCAGGAGAAACAGTCATTCCTATCGTATAACGTGTC